AGAGATGTAGTTTAGTCTAGCAATTTATAATACTGTTGTAATGGCAAGTCACTTATAATAAAAAGCCAGAGACTAACAGTTGTCTTTGTTTCTTTAAAAAAAAAAAAAAATCATATTTAATAAAATTTCAAATTAGTATTTCTTTTTTCAATAAAATTCTTGTTTTTTATGTTTTATTTTTTTATTCATTTACTGTATAATAAAATATACAATATATTTATGAAAAAACCAATATTTTTTAATATAAAGTATACAATTAATTTAATATTAACTTGTCTATTATAATTATCTAACTAATATATATATATATATATATATATATAACTTTCTATATATGACTTCTTTTATCAAAAAAATTTTCAAATAGAAGTAATATCTCAATTAGTATTTTTTTAATTTTTTAATTTTTTATAATCATATATTGTAAGTATTAGCAAAAAAAATCAAAAAATAATTTTTTATTTATTTTATTTAAAAGTATTAACATTTTAATATTTTTTGTACTTTATAATACTAATTAAAATATATTATAATTTCAATAATTAATTGTATTACTATTTTTTTTAACATTAATTTAATATATTCTTTTATTAACATTATTAAATTAAAATACAAATTCTTATCAATTTTTTTTTGTTCCAATATAATTAATGACTTAAAAACTTGTTTTGTAATTGATTTTTTTTAACTAACATTTTATTAATTCTTTTTTTTTTAATTTTTTTTATTGTAGCCCATAGGTTCTTAATTGAATTAAAATCAAATAAATAAGATAATTGATTAAAAAAATATAATAACATTCTTAAAAAAAATTGATTATAAGCTTGACTCAATATTTTGAATCATTGTCTTGTTGAAACTTCTATTATTTGTTTAGAATTTGTTAAGCTTATATAAACAAATTATTATTTGAAATTTTATAATAGAGTTTACCATTTATATTTTCAAAGAAAATATAAAAACTGATTATTCTTTTTGTATAAAATACTTCTAAACATAAACTTTAAATAGATGTTTCACAAATGTTTACTCTGATTTTGATTTCTTTTCTTTGTAACAAATCTTAAATATATTATAAAATATCTAAAATATTAATTCATTTGAAAAAACAATTTTTTTTTTAAATTTTTTTCTTAATAAGTTTTTGTTCAAATAAAATAATAATTCTTAATAATTTTAATAAGGAAAAGAACTTAATAAGAAATACAAACCTTATATCCAAGTTTTTAAAGATTATATTTAATTATCTAAGATGCAATATTAAGATTAGGATAAGTTTTTTAAGTTTTTATTAACTTATTGCTTGTTATATCTTTTTAACTTCATAATTTAATTATAATATTTTTGTAAAGAGATAAGAATAAATAAATAACTGAAATAATATTTCTGATTCAGATTATAAATTTTTTTAAGTTATTTGATTTATTTATATAGTATTTTTTATAAGTATTCAGATGTTTTTTTAAGAGTTATAATTTTATAAATTCTGCTCTTTCAAAATGTTTTAATTATTTGATATTTTTTTACAATTATAATTATATATAATGCTTGTAATTGTTTATTTTAAATTTGCAATATAGAGAAGTGAACTATATTATATTTAATAATAATACAATAAAAAAATTAATTAATTAACAAAAATTTCCTATAAAAAATTTTTCAGTTTTTTTTTAGCAATACTATATTTTAATTGATATTTTTTTTATAGTTTTTTTTTTATTTCTATTTATTGTAAAAAATACTATATATAAATTTATTAAAAAAATTATTCTTATTTTTAATTCTATTATTACTTATTTTATATTTATATTGATATAATATCTTGATGAATATTTTTGATTTTTATAATATTTAATATCTTAATTAATATTTTTTCTTTTGTTTTTTTTATTTATTTTAAAATTTATTAGAATATTGTTTTTAAAAGTTTTTTTTTTAATTTTTCTATTATTTACTTTATATCTAAATTAATATAATTCTTAATTAATATTTTTATATACAGTCAGGGTCATAAATAACTGTATCTCTTTTAAAAATTCAAATCTAATCCAATTGTTTTAAAAATGCTAGGACAAATAGTTTATCACGACTCCTAATCCTCCAAAATTTTTTAGATTTTTGTAATTGCTAGAACAAAATTTAGATGAGAAGCAAATTTTAGAGATTTTTTTTAATGAATTTTTTTTAACTTGAAAGTTATTAAAAAATGATCCATAGATCAATAATTTACATAATCAAAAATTCTCAAAAAATTATATGTTAAAATCTAGGTCTTTTTATATTATTGACAAAAAATTTGACATATTTTGATAAGACAGTTGTCAAAAAATTGATTTCTAAATTTTAAATTGGGTATATCTAAAAAAATAACTTTCTGAATGCAATTTTTATCAATTTTACTATATAATTTATTAATTTATAATAATTTTTATATAGTAAAATTGATAAAAATTGCATTCGAAAAGTTATTTTTTTAGGTACAGTCATACCTCTCTTATATTACACCATCAGGATAAGCAAAATTGTGTGATTAGATGGAGGTGTGACTATAACTGTATTATGACACACAACTGTTACTTTAGTTTATCAAAGAAAAATTCAAAAGAGATGGATTTGACTTGACCGAATTCTCCATTTTTTTATTAATACTTTTCTTGAAAACATTTAGATGAAAACTTTTAGAACACTAAAGAAAAAGATCGAAATTCTTGACTATTAAAGATAAGTGATTTTAAATTACATATTATCTATTAATTGTTCGTCATGCGATACTTTGGTTAAAATTGATTATGTGACATTGTCACGTCTAATTTTACCCCTTACATAAATGATTTTGTATTTTTTACTTCTTTAGCTTTAACTATCGATCTTTGGAGAAATATAAATTATACTATGCAATCAAATTACTCCCTAAGGGCAAGTATTTGCTGTTCTCTTCACAGCCCAAGGACAAGAAAGATACGCTATGCTTGGACCTTCATTCATTGTTACTTCTAATTCTGATCCTGAATGGCCAGCCACCACTTCGCGCAGGAGAACTCAAGAGGTACGTTCAATGATCAGATTATCTGTAAATGGTGGTACCTCAGACAATCTTCTCGTGTAGTACCGGATATCTTCAGAGCCAAACTCCCTACGAAACGTACAACATCTGCATGGGGTATGGTATGACAGACCCTAGCTCTATACTCCAAGTTTCAATAAACTCTGGATCTTACTATTGATGAACTTGTAAATAATACCTTTTCATGATTTTTATGTTTTCTAACCGCTCACCTACCCCAGAATAATAATAATATGATGACAATGGCCTCAGCACCAAGTGAACATGGAGATCCTTTGTTTCGTAACACGAAGAACAAGATCGTGTCGTTATCAAATAAAAATCGAAAGGTAAACAGATACTAGTGATAATAGAAACAATAGAAATGACTGACAAATGCTTTTTTTTTTTTGATAGCTGAATTCTGCAAGAGATATTTGGGCAAGTGAAAAAAAATGTAATATCGGGAGTTATTATAAACTAAGATTTTTTTTTTAATCCATTTCCCTTTATTTTCATCTATTATCTTTTTGAGTT